GTTGCATCTAGATGGCAGCTTGCTAGCTTTTAAGATCCCAGTCGCTACTCGCCAAAGCAGGAAGTGGAACAATGTTTTGTATAGTATGTTATGCCAGTTGAGCTTGATGTCCCCTGTGACTATGGTCCCACGCCCGCAGGTTCAACTACTTGGTCCCTCTGGGTAGCTGGCTGTGACCAAGGAGTGACCACAACCTTGCCCCTTGTCAGCTCTACTGTACACTGGGGAATTCTGATCATTCACATAAACTTATAAGACCATTGTCTGCCAACCCTTTATGTTCTTGGATACACTCCCCATTTCATAGACATACCTAATCGTTTAGCCTGCCCACCCATCTATCCATCCATATACCCATGTTTGCCTTCACTGACAATGCAGTACTGTATGCGGAAGCACCTCATTCTAATAGGTGTAGATGCGCAAATAAAAGCTTAAATTGGAAACTTTGGTGCTAGAGCAAATTGTTTAAAACATATTTAAACCCATGTCTTACTAACTGCTAGGAGCTCGTGGTTGGTCCAAATGGTTAACACATGTGGCTGCAAACCAAAAAACTGGAGGCACCTTGAAAGAAAGGCCTGGCAATCTACTTCTGAAAAATCAGCCAGTGAAAACCATGTGGAACACAATTCTGTTCTGACACACGTGGGGCCACCAGAAGTTGGAGTTGACTGCATGGCAACTGGTTGGCTTGCTGGAACATCTGTTAGCAAAGAAAGAAGGATGCTCAGATAGCAGTTCCCCTGAAGTATAAAATTAGCTGATGACACTCTCATGACTTCACAGAAGAGGGCTGCTGCCAAATAAATGGGTGGAGGCTGCATAAAAGATGTATAGGTTGTGGTGAAACAAGGCTGTGGCTGAAGATTATGGCCAGGGACGGTGCTGTGCTTTGCAGCTCTGCTCATCAAAGTTCCCGCTTGGTCCCTGCTGAGTCTAGGCTGGTCTGGTGGGGACAGGTTGCTCACCCTGACCACCTATGGCAGCCTCAGAGGACCTGGTGATTGAGAACAAATTGTCCACTTGTTCTAGTTAGGCCATCTGAACAAAGCCCAAATAAGAGACCTTCCCAGTGACAACAGTGGTAACCTCCCCACCCAACATGAGATCTGCCTGGTATAGTCATTGCAGGTGCTGAGTGTTTGGTGTGGGTGCAAGAGAAGTCACCAGCCTCATGGGATACAGCTTTGTTTTTCACACATTGGGCCTACATTTCAGTCCAGCTCTTCCAAACTGGACCAGCATGGGGATGTGCTAGCTTTGGCCTAAAGACAGACAGAAGCTCCTGACTGATGAAGAGCTCCACAAAACAGGGGATGGTCTATTGTTCTCCTTCCCCTACCTCCCACAATCCAGGATTATTACAAAAAGGGCTGTGGAGATGAGCCTTCCTGGTGGACTTACTTTCTCAGCAACTCCGCAGCCATGTGTTTTCCTTCAAATTAAAACCAAACTCAGTTCAGAAAAAAATTCCACTTAATAGCATCTAAAAGAATAAAATAACTCAGAATAAAATTTAAACAAGGAGGTCAAATACTTATACATAGAAAACTATCAAACACTGCTGGAAGAAATTAAAGGAGATCTAAATAAATGCAAAAAGATCCTGCATTCATGGATTGGAAGACTTAATATGGTTAACAGGACAATACTACCCAAAGTGATATCCAGATTCCATGAAATCACTATCAAAATTCCAACAGTCTTTTTGCACAAATGGAAAAGCCGATCCTAAATTCATGTAGAATTGTAAGGGGCCTCAAATATCCAAGATAATTCAGAAAAAGAACAAAGTAGGAAGATCACACGTCCTGATTTCAAAACTTACTACAAAGCTACAGTAATAATCAAAACAGTATAGTATTGATATGTTGCTGTCAGGTGCCATCAACTTGGTTCCAACTCATAGTGATCCTATGTACAGCAGAATTAAACACTGGCCCCAGGTCCTGTACCACCCTCACAGCCACTCTATGCTTGAATCTCTTGTTGCAGCCACTGCATCAATCCATCTCACTGAGGGACTTCCTCTTTTTTGTTGACCCTCTACTTTACGTAGCTGCAAAAAGGGCAAGGAGGCCACAAGTTCTGACCTCCTGTAATCCCACAAGAGGAAGACAGAATCACCATCAATAACCCAAGGCCTATTCTTGCAAGGCCAGACATGCTGCCTCCCTCCAGCCCTTTCACCAACCGTTCCTCCCAAAGCACCACCACCTCTCTCCTAGGTTCAATAATTCGCTGCAGTGGCCACACAGAACTCACAGATTATGGGGTTTATTAGGGAAGCACCAGGCTACAATTCAAGTTCAGGAAAAACACTCAGTCTCTCTCCCAGCCCACTGTCTCTCAGCCAAGTCTCTCACAGTCTCTCTCCCATCAGTGCATATCCCTTGGTGTCTTACTCAGCAACACGTGTCTCTTGCGTCTCTTTCCCAGCAGCGGTGTCTCTTTCAGTAGCGCATGTCTTTTCAGCAGCACGTCTTCCTCAACCAGCAGTCAGAGAGAGTTCTGCCTTTAGGAGGCCTCCTTTTGAGCTTGGCAGAGTGGCCAAACCAACCAATCATAACAGAATACTAAGCACCTGAGAGTGAGCCTCCCATAACATTGCGTTGTGCCACGCCCAACAGAAATAACCCAGGTGGATAACATTTACAATCAGGAGCTCCTCAGTTGCTCATTCCACCGCTGAGTTTACAATGACTTATGGGTAGAAAAGCCATACTAAGTAATTTACTACACTGCAGTAGCATATATCCTTCTCTAAGGACTTGTCCCTCCTGATAACATGCCCAAAGGATAAGGGATGAAGCCTTTCCATCTTCACTTTTAAGGAGCATTTTGCGTGTACCTCTTCCAAGACAGATTTGTTCCACAGTATATTCAGTATTCTTTGCCAAAACCATAATTCAAGTGCATCAATTCTTCTTTGGTTTTCCTTGTTCATTGTCCAGTTCTCACATGTATATGAGGCTATTGAAAATACTATGGCTTGGGACAGTTGCACCTTAGTCTTCAAAGTAACATCTTTGCTCTTTAGCACTTTAAAGAGGTCTTTGCAGCAGATTTGTCCAGTGCAATGTGTAGCTTGATTTCTTGGCTGATGCTTCCATGGGCATTGATTTAGGATCCAAATAAAATGAAATCCTTGGTGACTTCAGTCTTCTTTCTATTTATCATGATGTTGTTTATTGGTCCAACTGTGAGGATTTTTGTTCTCTGTGTGTGTGTTGAGGTATAATGTGTAATGAAGGACGTAGTCTTTGATCTTCATCAGTAAGTGCTTCATATCCTCTACTTTAAGCAAGAAAGGTTGAGCCATCTGCATATTGCAGGTTGTTAATGAGTCTTCCTCCAATCCTGCTAATGCATTGTTTTTCATATGGTCCAGTTTCTCAGCCTGTTTGCTCAGCACACAGATTGAATAAGTATGGTGTAAGGATACAACCCAGAAACACATGTTTCTGATTTTAAACCATGCAGCATCCCCTTGTTCTGTTTGGTCTATGCACAGGTTCTTCATGAGCACAATTAAGTGTTCTGGAATTCCATTTTTCACAATGTTATACATAATTTGTTATGATCCACACAGTTGCATTCTGTTGCGTAATCAACAGAACACAGGGAAACATCATTCTGCTATTCTCTGTTTTCAGCCACAGATACAGTTGGCATTACCAGTGATATTCCTCCCTTATTCCATGTCCTCTTCTGAATCCGGCTTGAATTTCTGGCAGTTCCTTGTCTATGTACTGCTGTAAATGTTTTTGAATTATTTTCAGAAAAATTTTACTTGAGCGTGATATTAACTGATAGAAGGACAGACATATAGATCAACAGAATAGACTCGAGAGTTGGACATAAAGTCATACATAAATGGCCAACTGATTTTCAACAAGGGTGCCAAGCCCACTCAATGAGGAGACAGCAGTGTGGTACTGGGACTACCCGATTTCCACAGGTGGGAGATTTAAGTTTGAAACCTATTTCATACTATACAGGAAAAGCAACTCACAGTGGATCACTGACCTAAATGTAAGAACTGAAACCACTAAACTCTTAAAAGAAAATATAGTGGTTAGCAATCAGGAACTTGTATTTGGCTAAGTTTTTAGATATGACACCAAAAGCAAGAGGAGCAAAGGAAAAAATAGATAAGTTGGGCCTCATCAAATTAAGAAAAATTTTTTTGAGTTTAGCATTCCTCTGCATGTTTTTACACTCTACTCATTCATGCAAATGTCGGCATTCTTCAATCATTATACAGCTTTGCTTAAAAAACAAACAAACAAACTTGTGTCTCAGAGGACACCATCAGAAAAATGAAAAGACAGCCCATAGTATGGGCAAAACTTTTTGCAACTCATGTATCTGATAAAGGACTTTTATCTGAAATATATAGTAAACTCTTACAACTCAATTATAAAAAGACAAATCGCCCATTTAAAAAACATGGTCAGAGGGTTTGAATACACATTTCTCCAAAGCAGACATATAAATGGTCTGTAAGCACATAAAAAATCACCAATAACATGAATGATTAGGGAAAAGCAAATAAAAACTACAAGGAGATAACACTTCATACCCACTAGGATGATAATTATCCAAAATGAAATGAAACATAACAAGTGGGTGAGAATGTTGAGAAACTGGAACCCTCATGGTGTAGCCGCTGTGGAAAATAGCCTGGCAGTTTGTCAAAAAGGTAAACATAGAATTACCATATAAACTAGCGATCCCACACCAAAGAATTGAAAGCAGGGACTCAGACACGTACTTGTGCACCAATGTTCATTGCTGCCTTATTCACAGTAGCCAAAAGGTGAAAGCAACCTAGATGTCTATCAACAATAGATAAATGGATAAACAAAATGTGGTACATACATAAAACGGAATACTATTCAGCTATAAAGAGAAATGCAGTCCTGATACAAGCTACAACATGGATGAACCTTGGAAACACTAGGTTGAGTGAAATAAGATACAAATAGACAAATATTTTATAATCTTACATCCATGAAATACCTAAAATAGGTAAGTGCATAAAGACAGAAAGCAGTTTAGACATTACCAGGGCTCAGGGGTAGGAGAATGGGGGGTGGGGGTTATTGTTTAAGGGATATTGAGTTTCCATCTGGGGCGATGAATAAGGTTTGGAAACAAACAGAAGTGATGGTTACACAACATGGTGAATGTAATTAATGCCACTGGACTGTACACTTGAAAACAGTCAAAACTGCAAATTTAATGCTATATGTATTTTTGGCCACAATAAAATTTTAAAAATATATAGATCCTGGCAAATGGACCATGATATCCTCATTACTTAATTCCAAGGTCATGTTGGTCCAATCAAAATACTGATCAAACTCTAATTTTAAAAAACAAAAAACAAAAAAGCTGTAAAAACAAAACAAAATCAACTCAAAACACACCAGGAAGCGTTTTATTTTTTTTTCTCCCACAAAATCTTTTGGATTTTAATCTGTTTTGAAAACACAATGCAACAAGAAATGCCAATCACCACTGTGTGTTACACCCCCAATGAAACTCAGGTACCCCCTTAGGAGCAGGCCTCCTCTGAGGGCATGGGGAGCAGCAGGGGTGCAGGGAGGTGGGCTGGAAGGGATCTCTAGGGAGGGATAGGCTGGAAGATGGAGATCCTATGAGGAAAATGTGGGGGAATAAGAGGGGAGAAAGGAATGAGTGAGACCTAGTTGGACTCCGCACAGTCCCACTCACCTATCTGCATGGGCCAGCTGCTCCAGAGCCTGCAGGAAGCAGCTTGAACTCTTGAGGCTCTCCAGGTGCTTCTCATTGGAGGCGACCTACAAGAAGGGGAGGAGACTGCAGTCAGATGGCCCATCTCTGCTCATGTCCCTTGGCCGTGCACCCTGAGTGTCAGGCCCACTGGTGTACTGCTGCCTGGGGCACAGGGAGTACGCCCTGAATTTGTCAGCAATCCCTGTGCTCACCTCCCAACCCCAAGGACACTGTGGACCTTGGGGGTAGAGGAGGGTGATAACTCTTGGAGGTGAACACAAGGGAGACTTCTGGGGTGGGGATGGGCCAGCTCAGAGCGAGGTGCCTCCTATGGGTCCCTCAGGAGTGTTTGTGTTCCAGAACCCTAGACTTTCTAGTTAAAGCAAAAATTTGTTGTCAGTGCCAGGACCCTGTGGGTCAGGCTAGTAAATGGAAACCTGGGTCTGTGGGTATATGAGCCCAACACAGTCTCCTTCACATGGGCAGAAGAACTGAGATCTGGCTGAGCCTGAAAGAAGTGGCAATGACATCCAAACCAGGGCACACACTCCTTCCCAGGTGCCCCAGAAAGCCTGCTCTTGCTCATCTCTGCTGTCCTGAGATAAATAGGGAAAAATACTTGAACACCCCTGATTCTCCATCACTGGTCTTCAGATTCATAAACCCTCAGGGCTGGAAGGGGTTTGGAAGAGTGTTGACCCAGCCCAGGCATTTCTAGTCCAAAAGTCCATATCCTGCAGGTACAGTAGAGAAGGCTTAGGGATGAACCTTTGATACCAGTATTAAACTTGAGCCCCAGTGGCAGAAACGGTTAAGCTAACCAAAGAATGGCAGTTTGAATCCACCCAGCAGCTCTGTGGGAGAAAGACCTGGCAGTCTGCTCCCACAAAGGTAACCCCTATGTGTTCCCCAAGAAACCCCTATGTGGCAGTTCTTCTCTATGGGGTCTTTATGAGTCGGAATCAACTTGAAAGTACTTCACCACCACCACCACTTAACTCACCATACATGTCTTATTTTTATCTTTGTTGTTGAACAATTTTTAATAAATACTAGTATGGCACATTACATTTTAGAAGGCTCTGCAGTTTCAAATAGTTTTTTTCATTTATTCTTCTGAACAGCTTCACCTTACAAGATGCTAAAGGGAAAAGGAGGCAGCGCTTCCCATCTCCTCTAACTCCACAAGAGGGAGACAGAATTTCCATCAGCAAACTATTCTTATGAGGCCAGACATTATGCCACCCTCTAGCCCTCTTACCAACGTTATCACCATTCATTCTTCCCATGGCACCCACCATCTCTCTGCTGGGTTCAATAATTTGCTGCAGTGGCCACAAAGAACTCACAGATTATGGGGTTTATTAGGGAAGAAACAGGCTACAATTCAAGTTCAGGAACACGCTCAGTCTCTCTCAGCTGCCAGCTGTCTCTCTTCCATCAGTGTGTCTCTCTCCCAGCAGCGTGTCTCTCTCAGCTGGCAGTCAGAGAGACTTCTTTTAAGCTTGGCAGAGTGGCAAAACTAACCAATTCCAACATCAGAATTCTACACACCTGAGAGAGCGCAAACTTCCCAGAAGATTCCCTCTTGCTGCCCAGGTGGATGACTTTAACAAGCAGCTACTCAGTTGCTCATGGCAAAGTGGGAGTTACAAAGACTATGGTTAGCAAAGCCATGCTGTTGTTGTTGTTAAATGCCATCGAGTCGTTTCCGACTCATAGCGACCCCATGCACAGCAGAACGAAACACTGCCCAATCCCACACCAGCCCCACGATCCCTGCTATACTTGAGCCCATCATCGCAGCCACCATGTCAATCCATCTCGTTGAAGGCCTCCCCCTCCTTCATCGACCCTCCACCCTACCAAGCATGACATCCTTCTCCAGGGAATGGTCCCTTCTTACAACATGACCAAAATAGGTGAGACGAAGTCTGGCCATTCTTGCTTCCAAGGAGCATTTTGGCTGCACTTCCTCCAGGACAGATCTGTTAGTTCTTTCAGCAGTCCATGGTACTTTCAGCATTCTCTGCCAGCACCACAACTCAAAAGCAGCAACTTTTCTTCGGTCTTCCTTATTCATTGTCCAGCTCTCACATGCATACGAGGCGATTGGAAATATCATGGCTTGTGTCAGGCGCACCTTAGTCCTCAAGGAGATATCCTTGCTCCTCAGCACTTGAAACAATTCCTTCACAGTTGACTTTCCCAATGCTACACGTCGTCTAATGTCCTGACTGCTGCTTCCGTTGCCATCGAATGTAGAACCAAGCAATGTGAATTCTTTGACAACCTCAATCTTCTCTCCATTTATTGTGATGCTGCTCATTGGTCCAGTTGTGAGGATTTTTGTTTTCTTTATATTGAGATGTAATCCATACTGCAGACTGTATTCTTCAACCTTCATCAGTAGGTGCCTTAAGTCATCCTCACTTTCAGCAAGCAAAGTTGTATCATCTGCATATCTCAGGTTGTTAATGATTCTTCCTCCAATCCTGATACCACGTTTTTCTTCATATAGTCCAGCTTCTCGGATTATTTGCTCAGCATATACATTGAATAAGTATGGGGAAAGGATGCACTCCCTTCCTGATTTTAAACCATGCAGTGTCTCTTTGTTCCGTTTGAACGACAGCCTCTTGGTCAAGGTACAGGTTCCTCATGAGCACAATCAAGTGTTCAAGAATTCCCATTCTTCTCAATGATATCCATAATTTGTCATGAGCCACACAATCAAATGCCTTTGCATAGTCAATAAAATACAAGTAAATATATTTCTGGTATTCTTTGCCTTGAGCCAAGATCCATCTCACAACAGCTATGATATCCCTTGTTCCACGTCCTCTTCTGAATCCTGCTTGCACCTCTGGAAGTTCTCTGTCAATATACTTCTGCAACTGTTTTTGAATGATTTTCAGTAAGATCTTACTTGTGTGCAATATTAATGATATTGTTCTATAATTTCCCCATTCTATGGGATCACCTTTCTTTGGAATGGGCACAAATATGGATCTCTTCCAGTCAGTTGGCCAGGTAGCTGTCATCAAAATCTCTTGGCATAACCGAGTGATGCATCCTCTAGTGCGGCATCCATTTGTTGAAATATCTCAATGGGTATTCTGTCAATTACCAGAATTGTTCTTTGGCAATTCCTTCATTGCAGCTTTGACTTCCTCCTTCAGTACCATTGGTTCTAGATCATATGCCACCTCCTGAAAAGGATGAAGATCGACCAGTTCTTTTTGGCACAGTTACTCTGTGTATTCCTTTTATCTTCTTTAGATGTTCCCGGCATCATGCAACGTTTTGCCCGTAGAATCTTTCAATATTGCAACTCGAGGCTTAAACTTTTCCCTCAATTCTTTCAGCTTGAGAAATGCCAAGCATGTTCTTCCTTTTTGGTTTTCCAACTCCAGGTCTTTGCACATTTCATTATAGTAATTGGCTTTGTCTTCTCAAGCTGCTCTTTGAAATCTTCCGTTAAGCT